GACTTGAAATATACTCAAAATTAAGAAAACTAATTGCATAACCCTCATAATAAGCATTAATCTTACTATAATTAAACAATTTATTAATGATTAAACATAACGGTTGAAAGTAATCATTTATTTTTAAGTTTTTGTGCGCATGCTTATGTGGACAATATTTCACTTTGTTGACAATATCGCTTATTATATTATAAACAAATAAAAAAAGACTATCTGTTCTATCAATAAAAACAAATGTTTAGTATAAGTTACGAAGTTGTTTATTATATTTGAGCAAAACATTCAACTAAGAGGGCTTTGATTTTAATAATACAACAGAAGCGCCATCTTGCTAACGTATTGGCCAGGCTGATATTTTGTTCTGGCATTTTCTAAATCGCGGTTCGTGGCTTATATTTTTTATTCGATCTGTTATTATTTGGTTATAAATACTATAATCATATTATGTATCATGAACATTTAACATTGTTTAATAAATTTGTGTGTTTTACGATTTACAATAAAATAATGGTATAATTCTAGGTAAGAATCTTTTCCCGTCATGCCATACGGCGGAAAGGCACGCAATAGTTTTATACATTTTGCATTTGTTTTACCGATCTGTATTAATAATGAAAATATCATTATTGTATTAATGCGGTAATAAACCTTTTTTTAATTTTTATTCCAGAAAAATGTGATTTAACTTGGACTTGCCTGATTAACTTCTTCATCTCCCCTCCCCTCCCTCTAGCCCGTTTGTCTACTGTGTAAGGTAGGATTTTTATATTATTTTTTAAAAACATGGAGCTTTAATTGAAATCTCCCATATATTGTCATTAATATGATCCAAAATAATTATGTAATTTAAAATTTCGTATTAAATTAGCCTTAATGTAATAATCAACAAATTATTACGACTAAAAGAACAAAGATGGCGGCATTTTCGATAACAAAAGTCAGGAGGGATAAATTAGAGACCATTTTAGGGAGTTATTTTAACAACTATTAATCGTACGGAACTTATCACAATTTATTTCCTAAAGGAGGATAAAGAGGAAATTTGTTACTAAAATGAACAATTTAATAATAATCCTAAAGAAATGTAAAATTTGGAAGGAATGACTATCCCTTCCTTAAAAACCAAAACAAGACTTTTCAGTATTCAACCCCTTAATGGGTAGAATAATAATAAAGATCAGTTAGAACAAATTCGATTCAAAAAGGGTGAAATAAATCTATTTATATATAAAACTAACATTTCGCCTGTAAGATCAAATTTTTTCAAGTCTGTAGGTACATAAGTTTACACATCTTCAGCCTTGAAAAAACATCCGATCTTAGAGGCAAAACGTTGGTTGTGGTTTTATATATCAATTAATTTATCTGACACTCTTTTGACTAGTTTTAATCTATATCATCTTTATCAATTTACTAGTAGATATATTTAAATTAAATCAGAATATTATGGGCTAGGATTTTTAATTTGGAATATCGACTCAAGTTTCCAATAACACGCATCCAAACATTTAATGTGGTTTATTTATGTTGATATATACTGTTTTATCAGAATTTTGTACTACTCTTTGGCATTTTTATTATAAAAAAAGAAAAAAAACTTGTTCAAAATATTCTTTTTGGGAAGGCGCACATTGATGATGAAATCAAAACCATGACATAAAATTTTCGTTGCACCTTCTGCGATCCATTATGGTTGCTGGGATGTGACCTTTTCTCATTTCTTTGTTCCTTATTTGTTGTTCCGTTTCCTTTTTGAGTGGCTCAGTCGTTTCCGCTAATATTTCATCGTTGGCATAATAAACCACCAAAACTTGATTTATAAATTCGACGGACTTTTTTTTCTTCGTCTTGTACGGTTTGTATTCGTACGTTTCGTCCATGTCGTCTGTTGCATCGTCATTATTAGCCGGTTCTTCGTACCCTTTGACCCGGTTCTTCGTCTTTATTGTAGGTGATCGAATTCTGTTGTTGGTACCGTTGGTGTTTTCCATGGGGGCGGTTTTCACCTTTTCAGCTTTTCTTCTCTAACACAATCTAATATTAGAAACGTTAATAAAATTTGAATTTGATACGTATCTTTGTTCATTTTTTGATGATTGTCGTTCGTCCTACCTTGTATTCTCTTTTGTTTTTACGATTAAGTTTGTCCCACGGGTCCCACGCGAGTACCTTTGCAATGGCATCGGTGGAACTTGCTTTTATGTTAGCCATGTGTGAATCGGTATGGGAAAGGGTGGTTGTAACCGATTTCTCCTGCGACGTTGAGGGAGACGATTTACTATTAGCAACCTCACCAGTGACTTCTTCCTTTTTAGGCGATAGAATATTCTCTAGACTGTCTCTCGCCTTGAGATGCTCTGGTTGGGGCACACCTTCGTCCGATTCAGAACTTTGCAATGTAACTCCCTCTAATTCGTGTGCTAGTTCGTTGTCTATAACGTTTTGTAGAGTTTCTCTCTGTATTTTTAGACGAAATTAAAAGTGCATATTATACGAAATGTGTTACAGTTTTACATACTTTTGTATTCTCAGACACTCCTTTCTTATGTTCCTGTAACCCTTTTCCATCCTTGCTATTCCAAGACTTCACTTTACTGACGATTTTTTGTGTGAATTTTGACCGCTTGTGATTTTTTATGATACTGCCATCAGACTGGGACTCTTGCATCTGATTTTCCTGTTTCTTTTTGCTGTCCTTGTGATTATTGTCTGCTTTAGAATTTTCGGTTGTGTCCGCTTGAATATTATATAATAATATTTATAATGGATCGTTAATACTTTCTTTAAAATACTTATACCTGCACCATCATTGGCAATTTTGCTAATAGGATCTGGTTGAATTTTTTGCTTATGTGGCATTCTAAGTTTCAAATTAAACGTCAAAAGTAACCTTTCAGTTAATTTGTCGTTTCTTACAATAATATTAATTAACAGAGAAAAGCATAGAAAATATGTTCACATTATATAATTCATAATTGCAAACAAAAAAAGTCCTCCAAAAAAGGTCCTCCAAAACAAATTTAAAAAAAAAATTCTTACCTGCCAATAAAACAATTTATTCAAAATCGCTGTTATAATGATAAAATATAGAAAATTGTCTTTGTTAAAAATATATTTACAGATTAAGTTGTATGTAATATTACACAAAAAGTACATTAATATTATATTGGCAGCTATTTAACAAAGAGTAAAAACAAAAATAAATATGTATTAAAACGGAACTAGGAACTAAAATCAGAAAAGAAAAAAAAAGAATAATTCAAAACTGCTCTTTATATGTCGGAAAAAATCCATAAGGCACTAATAACTTTGTATGCACAAATATTAAAAATGCTGACAATGACTGATTGTAAAAGACTAGAAAATTAAAAATAAAAAAAAAATTGTTATAGTGGCAGTGTTTGGCTTACATATATTTATTGTTATATATAACAGTGTATACCAATCAAGAACACATTTCTAATACACTACCATTCATAATCATTAGCCTACCTTATTAACTGATGTTATTACCTCTTTTTTTTCTTTCAGTCAAACATCGAAAATTCTAAACGAAATTGAATAAATTTTTTACATCACTTTTACTCCTACACTATGCAAAACAATTTTATATTCCTTATTAATGTTTCCATGTTAATGAGCTTATTCACATTTCTGCAGATCAAACAAACAAATCTTTCAATTCAAAACTAACAATTTGATTAATCTCCAGCAATCCTTTTTTTGAGTAAAAATTTAACGATTTAAACTAGGTAATTGTAAAAACACGAAGGGTGATGATAATAAAGCACAATTAAAAATAAAACTACCCCACTACCCTACCCATAGGTACATAGACAATTTTTTATCGGTTCATTTCTAGAAAAATTGTCAGTATCCAGGCAGTACATTTTGCTTGCAAAATAAAAAAGAAAACGACAGCATACACTGCACTATTCAGTAAAAAGTTAAAAAAATCATTTCATATATATCTATAGGTACGTAAAAAGACGTTTCTAAATTATTTACACTCTTGATCGATTACATAAAGTAAAAATTAACGAAAAAAAAAGTATTTTGTACGCCAACGCATTGTCTTTATCACAATGTATGCGGAACTTAAAGCTAACTGGCGCAGTGTTTTTGTTCAGGTTTACCCAAACACATCGAAAGTCGCTTGCGTGACGCTTCGCCGGTTGATTTTCGTCTCAAGGGTCCTTCGGCCGGGGTGGGGGTGCCTTTGCGCCTCTGCACCCCAACATTAACAGTCTTACGTCCTACAGGTGTCTTTGCATGCTCCATTTTATCGGAAGATCCGTGAGCTGTAATTGCTTTGGTCCAATTATCCATTTGTGCGACTCGAGACTCCCTTAGAACGTTTCTAATGGCCCCCGTTTCTCCAACCATGTCTTGAAGTTTCTGTATCGTTTGGTACAGGCACACGGCACTCACCAGACCGAAATCAAATAAACTACACATGTGAATAACGAAATTTCTGTACAGGTTTTTCAACAGCAGCTCTTGTCCCTTGTGTTGCACAAACATGGCACATGCTAGAGGTATCTGGCAATCCCCGACGAATCCGTATTTCATCACGTGCAAGTTCCACATCTTCATCAATTCTTTTTCTCCCTCATTTACGTCAGTGAACTCGTCTATCATCATCATTGTTTTTGCTCTCAACCACTCAGGATCATTTTCTCCTTCGGAGTCGATGTCCATTTCTTTTGGATAAATAGGGAGACAGGTGGTCGTGTGGTGATACAGTCTATTATGTCCCGTAATAAACGGTCTTTGGCCGTCATATTCGCAGTCGTCAAGTTCGAGAAACTCGGAGAGGCTTGGCTTTGGTCTTTTAGGATGACAAACAAGAATATGAGTAACGGAGGCTCGCCTGACGGGGCCGTTTCGGGAGAAGGCACAACCCGAGGGCTGAGAAATAAGATCGTGGGGCGAACCTGTATACGAACCGTCATACAGCTCATTGATAGCCACGTCTATCCTTGCACCCACGGAAATGGGGACGTAAGTGAAAGTGAAACGGGAATGGCACAATTTTAGGTGTTTTAGGAGGGTGTAGAGGGTGTTGCAGTTAAGACTACACCATGGACAGTGAAGATCTTCACAAGCTTCCGTTTGTTGCCGAGAATTATTGTTGTAAACAAATTGATAGACGATTTGGAGTTTTTCCTGCTTTATGCCGCTTTCTTCGCCATTCTGGATTGCTGGGACGTTTTCCTTGTTGTCACAAATAGGATATGGCTTGGGCCGTTCGACATAGCGTCCTATGGCATTCTGTGACCAGCTGAGTTTAAATTTGAGACTCGGACCTTTCATAAAAACGTCCAAATTGCAACAAGTGTCGCTTAGATCAGAAATGTTCTCCCAGCTGGAATGTTTCTTCGGTGATGTTTTCGAGATCCCCGGTATTTCTTGCATTACAACTTCATAGTCGCCGTCAGTCAATAGACACCTGTTGTGCTTATCATATACAACCAGTTCTGAGCCATAAAGTTTTGTTTCTTCAAATGATCGTCCATTCAGATTACTAATAGATTTACGTCTTTTAATCACAGGCTCATCTTCCGGCTCAGATGAGCTTGAGGACGGTATGCAGCGCACCCTGAGTAGTAAAATATAGGATTTAGCAGTTGCTCCTCCATTTGAAGTGAAGAGATCAGTTGGAATGCTGACAGCAGGTGCTAATGGCGGTAGATGAGTATCGCTGGGATTTATTACTACTTCCACTGATCCGTAAGGAACTTGCATCGTTGGCCACGAGCTGTCCTTTCTCTTTTTATAACTTAATTTCAGAATAGAAGTTTCAACCTGAACAACGTGGCTGCTTGAATCTAGTGTTTTATCGAAGAATCCCAGGAAAGTAACGTTTATAAAACTGGGAAGACCAAAAAGAGTGTTACCCTTCTGTTTTTGACTTACTTTTTGTAAAATAGAATCGACTTTGAAGGAACTACGTGCTTTATTCGATCTTGACATTCGATTTCTCATATACGTGAGGCAGCGATTCAAAAAAATAGGCTGTACCATAAAAAAACTTCTCTTACATAATGTAATCAACACAAACAATTGCTACTTACCGAACACATATTCCTTGTCCTCAGGTACCTGTAAATTTGTGTCGGTTCTGTAAAAGGACGAAACCCCCGGTTAGAAAGATTTTTTCATTTATAACAATTCATTTTTGCATCTGCATTACCAACTTACTTTCGAATGCTTGGAGAAATAGTTCGTGGTCTGCTTGTATGTGGTCCATTCTGGGATTTTTTGTAGATTCACCATCTTTTTCTCGTTTTTTTGGTGGCATAATCCTTTAAGCAAAATTGGTTAAACTTTTTCTATTATTACCGGGAAACTCTCACACCAGCATACATACAACTGGTAATCAGTAACGGCCATTACTATCACAGCAGGCCATTGCTACTTGTTACCCATTTGCTATCGAAAACCACAGATTGTTATTGGTTCAACGAGACTACCTTTCAAAATGTTTTAAAAATTTATTTCTTCGAGAATCGGCAGGGTTAATTATATAATTACACTTTATTTACATGTATGTAAGTAATTTATTCATTATTTTAAGAAATTTTGCGATATTTTAAAAAAATTGCCCTACGCCTCTGGGGGCTTTAGACACTTCCAATGAATTGGCATTTTCTGACTACTTGTCAAAATTATTTCTATGGTTCGTACTGGACATTTCTGATATAAAATTATAATATCATTGTTTTTGGAACACAAATGAATTAATAAATACGTTTTAATTAAAAGAAATTTAATTATTATAGTGCACATGCCATTTAACTAAAATGGAGTGTGTAGGTATGTATGTCATTTTTAATTTATTTTGTTCCATTCGATTCAAAGTACTAAATTAAATATTTATGTCATCATTTTTATAAATCATGTTATATATCCATTTATTTTCAACAAGTAATTGAATAATGAAAAATCACATTTTGTCATCTCGAAGATTTAAAACAGTTTGTTTCTGAAAGGTACGGAGAACGGAAATAAAATAGATAACACAGTTTCAAATCATACAAAGGAGGAAAAGTCTGATTTTAAAGAGCCTTCAGAATGTAAAATACCCAAAACTGAAATATCCGAGGTAACGGAGTCCTCCAACGATGAAAAAAAAGTTGATTCTACAAGTGAACTGTTAGATTTTAAAGTAGTTTATAATAAAAATAAACATGATGTTAGTGCTCCTTCAGATTCAACTGTGGCAGAGCTGAAAAAAAAATTACAGGGATTGTTGGGTTAGTGCTTCCCTTGTTGTATCAAATATTGCCTTTGTAAAACATAACCCGATTGCAGGTGTGCCAGAATCTTTACAGAAATTAATGTACAAAGGTCTTTTACAAGATAATCAAACTTTAGCTAATGTAGGTATAACCAAAGGTGCAAAAATAATGTTAGTAGGGTCTACACTCAATGACGTCCTGGCAGTATCTTCTGTCACAAAACAGGTAGTCGAGTTTTGTAAAGAGAGAAAATAGACTTGCTTAAATAAGTAATTGTTTTAAGGATGTTGCGGAATTAGAAAATCCAGCAAACACAAAGGAACCTTTGTGCCGACAAAAAATTCATAAGAAAGTACTGGACAAAGGTGTACCTGAAGATGCTATGCCAGGAATAAGAAATTTAAAGGTTTTATAATTGTTATTTTCTAAATATAAAAGATATTTTAAGTTTGGTAAATTAATAGGAAGGTCTACCACCAGTTCCTTTGTCAGGAATGCTCAATAAGCATGGGGGCAAAGTAAGATTGACATTTAAACTAGAAAATGACCAATTGTGGCTGAGTACCAAAGAACGTACTGAAAAGTTGCCAATGGGCTCAATAAAAAGTATTGTTTCAGAGCCTATTGAAGGTCATGAGGAATATCACATTATGGTATACTTATTTGGATTTTGCGATGTACAAAAAATCATTTTATCAGTAAAGCCTCCTATATTAAATAATTATAAAGCATTTTTTGTGCATTGTAGAAATTGGTGTTGGGAGTTGTAGGAGAAATGTTTTTAGATTGTCTTTGTAGGGTTTACAATTAGGGCCAACGGAAGCGTCTCGATATTGGGTGTATTGGGTACCAGCTCAGTATATTGACGCCATAAAAGACGCCGTACTAGGGAAATGGCAGTACTTCTGATGTAGCTGTAAAATAAGGCCCAGTATTTGTTCTTCATATGTCGTCTATTATCCCAGTCAATTAAAACACCGTTGGTTTAATTTCATTGTCAGTGTCCAAATTGGCTGTAACACATCCCTGGAAATTTTTATATGATTCAAAATTCGACGATGCATTTCGTTTTCTTTTGNGTTTATGACTTACCTGAAGCAAGAAGTTACTATCTTTTGAGCAAGTTTAATTAGTAGATCTTTGATTGTATGACTAGTTTACATGTAAAAAAGTACAAAGTGAACCTGACTATTAAATAAAAGTAAAAAATATTCGAGACACAATGCGCTACAGTTGTTGTCATTGTTTTTCTTTGAATATTGTTTATATCAAAAATAGCTTAACATTAAATATAAAATATGCTTCAGTACTAGTTCTAAAATTTAAGACAATAATTTATTACAATAATAACAAATTATATTAGACCTTTTCCAGTGCAATTAAGTTTATATGACTAATATCTACAAAATTTGTTAGATACTTGACTGAATACATGTTAAATTAATAAATAAAATTAATGGACATAAAATACTTTGTATTTTAAAAACTAGAAGTAATGGCCAACTTTTAACAATTATAAAAGTTTTCTACTTAATAAGATATTTTATAATTACTACATAAATGGTCATATTAATGGCAAGATAAGCAACATGTCTATAAAAATTGTATTGTAAAAGTTTTTTACAGTTGTCTGTAAATTTATGTTGCAAATTGTACTTATTTAATAACGCTAACCATACTCAGACTGAATTGATAAACTAAAGTCTCCTGGCTTTACTGTTGTTCCATGGTACCAAATTCTTGTATCAACTAATACTAAACAAACAGAAATTGTAATAGTATTCAGAAAATTATTAAAAACACTTACCAGCATCTCCTGGTTCAACTAAAAAAGAAAATGAACTGCAGACATCTTCACATTCTGGAGTAGGTGATAGATACCATGTTTTTGACCCTTTTAACTGAGCTTGCCACATGAGCCGATTTATAAAATCCAACTGAAATTAATTTCATTAACTTCTGGTAGAATTAACTTTAGCTTCTACAATCAGTTTATATTATAAGACTTACATGTAAAGTTGCTCCTGCATCATATCCCATGAAAACATATTCTTTAGATGATAGCTCACAATCTTCAGGTAGAAAATGGGGTATTTCGTAATATTTACGCATTTTTTCAAGTACTTTAGGATGGCAGTTACCCCTAAAACAATTTTATTACCACCTCTTAGAAACACCAAATTATTTTACTTACCATCCGACGTACCATGATTTTTGTCCAGGCAAATTCCTTACTCTGTCTTCATGCATTGAAAAAATATCTCGTATCGATATAAAGTCGGATTTAAAATGTAAAAATTGACATTCTTGGTCCACACTTTCAAAACTACCTTCTACACTTTCATAGAGTTCTTTAAAAAAATAGTAATCGAATCTGTTCAAGGCAGGCCAGTGCAAGAAAGCACCTTTGATGACTAAAGGTTTTGAACTGTATGCATACTTAGCAAATTCTTCCTGTGTCAAATTTGGTAAAACTATCGGTTTGGCGACTTTTAAACAATAACTACAATCGGAAACTGGGCGAGTAGCCTCCCAAACAAAATAATTATTTGGTATTAAGCAGCGGATTCCAATAGCATAATTAACAATACAGTGAAACACACCACATTCATATAATATTGCGTTTACAACAAGAATTATTCCTAAAGCTTTACTTTTAAAGTGTTTCCGTTTCTTTCCTTCTTTTTGCAGTGCTTTTTGTATATCATTGCATTTTAAACCGGATGCAATAAACTTCCTAGTTAAAGTCAAAAACTCATTTTCTATAATATCCTTTTCAGTTTCAGCTTCATTTGAACGAAGCATTGTCTATTTCGACTGCAAATTAACAAAAACACTACATTACAAATAGCATTTTTTATTATTTCTTGACGTTTGACATAGCCTAAACTTTTTTGAAACTGACACATAGATAAAGTGACATTTCAAAATTGTGTCTACATAACAGCTACTCTTAATTTAAATTAAACATCAATGCATAAAAGCAACTACTACTTTATTCCGGATATTTAAATTATAACAAAAAATCGATTGCATATATTTATCATTAAGAAAATAGAATACACTTTCTACGAATCTTCTGGGAATACATTTCCTATTTTCAACCTGATCATGTCCATTAATTGAGCCAATTCCAATGTTTCTGCATGAGTGATTTTAGGACTTTCAATTAAACCTTTCTTTATACATTGGCGTACTTCTTCGGCTTCGAAAGCAAGGCCGATACTATTTCCAAAAAAGAATTGTGCATTCGATTTCGGCATATCAAATTCAAATGTTTTATTTGGTGTTTCAAGTTTTACAGGAGTCCAAAATTGTGGGACCTGTACAAGGAAAATTAAAAATATTAGCAAAATATCGTTTTTGATCTTTCAAAAACAATTACCCTGATGGTACCTTTCGTACCAATCACTACAGCCACGTTATCTAACTGTAGGCGGGAGCTGCACGTTGCAACTCCTGTTCTACCTCCGGGATATTTCAAAACGGCAACGGCGGTTTCATCAACGTTTTGTTTGTTCAAATGTCCAGTAATGGCTACTTCGATCGGTTTTAGACCTCTAAATACATACTGAATGAACTGTAATGTGTAAACGCCCAGATCGAGAACGGCACTACCGCCCATTTCTTTAACACTAAAAGAAAATTGCCCATTATATCTATTTTTTGTAGGATTTTATGTGTATTATATACAGGGTGTCTTAAAATTATCACTTGCATGAGTTTTTTATTTGATACAGTAGAGTTCATGCGATGATTTTGAGACACCCTGTATACGAGAAAATTCTTACTTTAAACGATCCACATTATCCAGTGGAAAACCGAAACATGCGTTTACGTATAAAACCTCCCCAATAATGCCCGAATCGATTTGTTTTTTTAACTCATCGTAAACCGGATTGCAACGTGACCAAACAGCTTCCATTAGGAAGAGTTTCGTCTTTTTCGACAACTCCAGGAGTTCGCGAGTCTGTTTTTCGTTAATGGTAAACGGTTTTTCACAGAGTACATGTTTTCCATGCTCCAACATCAACTTCGCTACTTCGTAGTGTTGAGGGTTTAATGTTCCAATATAAACGACATCTCAAATAACATTTTTGATTAATATGAATGTAATCCATTAAAATTATAATTGGTTTAATTTTCTTTTCTTACCGACGTCTTTGTCTTCTCCAAGTGATCGGTATCCTTCATATGCTTTCGGTATATCTAGCTTCTTAGCAAATTCCTGAGCACTTTTGAGAGATCGCGCGGCCACAGCCACCACTTGATGTTCGCTACTTGGTAAAGATTTAGTTGCTGCAACGAAATCATTAGAGATTTTTCCCGCACTTGCGATTCCCCAACGTAGTGCCATTTCGCTATTTAAAAAATAATATACAAAAAAATAATTTCGAAGAGAATTCTGTGTCGAAATACTTATAGTTAGACTGCCTTTTATAGATTATAAATAGCGGAATCTTCAGAACATTAAACAACATTATTAGATAAGATATGTCATTAAAAACAAAAAATCATTGTCAGTGGCGTAGGTGAGAACACAAGGACTCCCTTTTTATCTTATCAATACATACAATAAGTGTGTAGGTAATTTGCTCCTTCAACGGGCCCGTCAGCTACGCCACTGATAGTTATCGTAAATGTGTAAGTGTAATATTTATTGGCTTTTTCGAACAACAAAAATTTTATTTGATTCTCTGCAATTATAAATTCTGTTCTCGGTTAAGAATATCCTGTTACCAGGATTATGAATTTAATTAATAAAATAGACTGTAATCAATAATAAATTTACCGTGCTCAAGGTCAGTTATGCCTATGACTTTCATTTATTGTAGAAGATGATAAAAAAGATTAAGATCAAAATATTCCGGTTTTNAATTTATTAAACATGGTTATAATTACTTATTTTTTATGTAATTTAACGGTAAATATGATATAATAATGATATGTGTCAATACTGAAGGTGTTATTGCTTTTAAATCAAAAAGAGATCGAGAAATATAACTTAGGCAAAGTACCTACACAGGCATCATAAAAACCTAAAGGCTTTATCCGAGTAAATATGGGTAATCTGTTCCTGTAACTATATTCATGTTTTTAGACTGAATATTGCACAAACAAAAAGTACGCCATAATTAAGGAATAGAGTCCCAATCCTGACTTACCTGGATAAAGCCTTTCTGCAAACTTCAAAGATTCTATAAAACTAATTAAATAGTATTATCATTATTTATTGATAGGTACTGTAAACTAATTTAAATTGCATTTGTTTTGAATTTTTTTTATAACAACGAACGCTACTTTAAATTTGAACGTTTTTCAAAAGTGTGCTTCATTAATAAGTGCTACATTCATTATTTCTTACTGTGTGCCATTTTTCTAAAACTTTTAACACATCAAAAATCATTTGTGCTAAACAGGCGTGAATGAATGTTTGTAGTTGGGTACTTTTTATAATTGAATATCCTGTTACCAGGATTATGAATTTAATTAATAAAATAGACTGTAATCAATAATAAATTTACCGTGCTCAAGGTCAGTTATGCCTATGACTTTCATTTATTGTAGAAGATGATAAAAAAGATTAAGATCAAAATATTCCGGTTTTAATATAGGGAGTACTTGAAAAATAATTTATTGTCGTGATAATTAGTGTAAAAACAAACATAAAAATTGTTTTTGTCGTTATTTGTGAAAGATAATAGATACATAGGTATTTATTTACATTAAAATCGTTATAAAAAAAATCCGGTAATGTAAAACCTTATTTTACACATTTAATGGTGTAAATAAAAATATAAAAAACTAAATAAAAAATTACAATAGCTAAAACTTACATTATTGCGATCTTTTGGTCAAAAACGTATACACAGACTTAACACATGTATTTGTACTATAACAACATAAATGAAATCAACTACCATACACTTGTAATATAACTAATAAATATTTCTATTATTTAATAATGGTAATAGCTGACGATACTAACGATTGATATTTTTAGAACAAAAAACGTGCAAAACAACTATATATTACATATATGTATTACTCCTGTAAAATATGTACATAAAAATAACAAACAATAGAATTAATCCAGCGGCTTCGAACCTATGAGGGCCCAAGACCATTACAAAGGGGGCAATTTTGCAAAGTGGTTATATTTTAATTTGATTTAATTTTTGAATGGATCATTAGTCGTATTTTGAGACAATGTTAGCATTTCCCTAAAACTGAAACATCCCAACAGTAATATAATCTAGATCTTCCTCCACTCCTCTTCACTCCGGTTTCTGCTTCTAAAATGTTTCTAGTTAACCTTTCATCTCTCAGAAAGTACCCTACCATTATATCTCCACTTTTTTTTTATTGACCTCCACTGCACCCTTTCTAATACCACCTCATTGCTAACTTTTCCTATCCACGGTATTTTTGTCATCCGCCTATTATAACATCACCACATTTCATTATACATGTATATACACTTTTTACAATCTTTTCAGAATCTCTAAATTCGACTTCTGTATGTTATTACTCTTTTACAAATACTTTTATCATTAGTTTTACAATTTCAAACTCTAGAACTTTTTCAGGTAATATTTTTTTGTATGTATGTAGAAAAAATGCCGTAACAGGCTACAATAGCCACTATCATAATGTGTCCGCCATGTTGCATCAAAAAGAAGAAGCAACATGTCGGAAATAGTTTTTACTGATAAAGCATATTGTAAAATAGTGTTACATGCAGCGAAGTATCCTTATTGCGCTATAAATGGCATTTTGCTTGCAAAATCGTCTTCTAAAAGCGAACCTTTACAATTCGAAGATGCAATTCCCCTATTCCATGGTACTCTTAACCTCACTCCTATGGCTGAAATTGCTTTAACACAAGTAGGTTTCATAATGAATTTTATTTTATACTGTGCATTAATCATATTAACTTAATCTTCGTTTTCAATTTAAACAGATTGATCAGGTCGCTTCAAACTTTGGTTTAGTTATTGGCGGTTACTATGTGGCACATGAGAATTTAAAAGAGAACTCATTTGAAAAGGCTTACAATCGTTTAACTGATAAAATTGCAGAGAATTTCCCCAACTCATGTTTAGTTGTGGTAAGGGAAGGATTGTTCATTAAAATTACATGATTTGTGACGATTTTTGTTTATAGGTTGATAATCGTAAATTAGGTAATCAGTTGGATAATGTAGCACTTAGGGTGGCTCAGTTTTCGGACAATAGGTACAGACCAGTGGACATTCAGCGTATTACATTGACACCATCTCATACTTTAGATCTGTGTACCACTCTTTTAGAAAAACAAATCCACAAGTCACTTGTCGATTTTGATAATCATCTAGATAACATTTCCCAGGATTGGACCAATGTCCATATCAATAAAGAAATTAATGCTTTAATTTAACTTTAACTAATTGGTGGTAGCTTCCTTGAATAGTATTGGAAAAAAATATGATGCATTTGATATACTTTTATTTATCAGGTAGTTATTATCAGTTAAGTGAGTTTGATTTACCCTAAATTAAAACAACATTCATGTTTTTCCTGTGTTACCCTAGTAGTTAATTCTTAGTTGCAAGAAAGATAATTTAGTGTAAAAATATCAAATTTAATCTAGCATAGGGTAAATCACTACACTTATCTGTCAGCACTTTTTTTGTAAATTGTTATTAATTTAAATTATAAACAATGTTACTTGCATGAAATGATAGAACCATTTTGTTGTTGTCTTTATTATTTGTTTATACATTTCTATTTATCAAACAAAATTAACACTTCTATTAATGAGGTAACAAATGTAACCCAATAAGGTCACTTTTAATAATAATTATATACAAGTAACAAAGGTACCAATTACCTTTTCACAATTGTATCGTGTAGAATTTATTTTTTACACACTTTATTTTGGATCAGTTAACGTGTAGATCTTGTATTATTTATATATATATATATTCAAC